CACACGCCTGAAAATCATTAAGTAACTGCAACAGACATCCCATAGATTCACAATTTGTGATGCAACAAGTCATATCATTTTTACAAAATAACTTTGTCTACAAGTTGATTTGCTGTTTGGATATACCTATGCCATTAATGGAATGAATTTGGAGAATTTGAATATACAGTTTATAACATAACAAGGCAGACCAGTAAAAAGTATTTTACGAATCATCAAACATGGGGTCAAATTTTACTGTAGGACCAAAGGGACCACTTGTTCCATGTACATTGTATGATAATTATATATACATCTCCGCACATATTACAAGAAGTTCACATCCCTTTAACACAACGTCTGAGGTATAATGATACAGAAACAAATTAGTGTAGTACCGGTATTTCGAAATTGTTGACAAAATAATTGCTTTACAGCAAAGGTGACACCTTGTTAACACCATGAGGTTCAATTGTCAGTGTATCAAATACTCAGTTTACGAAGTGGTAACATTATCAATTAAAAAAAAATATGGTAACAAATACATCGTCTGACGACTGGTGCACTACCCACCTTTTTTCTTCGGCTCGTTGTCGCTCTTCTCCACCGGGATCAAAGCTGGTGGTACTCGAGGTACAGGGGTCTCCCCTCTCGATTTGTTAGCATCTTCAAAAGGGGACTTGATTTCTCGCAGGTGCTTTGCTTTAACTTTAATTTTTCTTGAGCCGTTGACAGAGTTATTAGAACTGGAAATACTTGACAGACTGATTGTCGAATGACCAAACTCGGATATCTTGTCTATCAGCTGGTTGGGTGGATTGATAACGGTGGACCTGATCAAAACATCACTGGCAGTAGAGCTCCCCGAAGTGTTGCTACTGACATTCATTCCAGCCACGGCAGGGGATTGACTTCTCGACGAATATGACTTGCTGCTCATAGTATACGCTTCTGGATGAGATACATCAGTAGCGGGAGTTGAAGATCTCATCTCTTCCGAATGTTCGGTGCCCGAATGAACGTGCTTGCTCCTTGTAAACATGTCAGCACCTGCCGACGAAGGTCCGACGATCGGTGCGACGGCATTATCTTGCTGCATATTGTCTGTTACCGCACCAAAAGCAGCTTGTGTGAGCGCCAACATTTCGTCCAGTTGTTTACCTGTAGCTGGTTGTTGGTCCATAACTTTTAAACTTATAAATTCCGGAAAAAAAACGGTATAGTATGCGGATATCAACAAAACATTATCTTCCGTGTCGCCATTTTGAATTCTGAGTTCATTGATGTTTCCACCTCGAAATGTAACACAGCTTTTGATTGGGCCAAACTGTCACATATTCGTTTCAACCAATAACAGAAGTCTTTACATATTGACCTAAACTGTGTAGGTTTGTTTGTTGCTTATTTCCATTTTCCCCACGAGGTTGAGGTTCAGTGAACTGTATCTCCACATAGGAATTATTTCATCAGGGTTATGGGCTGCAGTTGAAACCATAAGATAGCATATTATAGTGGTACGTACGTATATAACATTACAATACTCAGTTATTATGACAAATTCAATGAATGCATCCGCAATGGACGGAATGTGATGACTGATTATCACTATTTATTTAATTCAACAAGACACACTTCGCGATGGGCATCTTTATTTCACGGTCAGTGATATCCATAATCACATTTCTTCACAATTGTATAGCCCTTTTATACTAGTAATTGGCTTGGCAGTTCCAATCACGAATTAGATATTGTGTCACAGCATTGTAGCTAATTTTTAACAAATCCCAAATTAATCTTGTTTACTTTGCATATGTACTATGTTTGCATTTGAAGTTTTGATATTTTAATGGGTGTACCGGTACTATAAAAAAAAAAAAAAAATGTTCTTTGCCTAACCTGACCCCTAACCCTTAGCTTCCCAATGTAATTGTACATGCCCCTCCAAATAACTATACATATCCAGAAGAGGGGCATGTACAATTAAAATGGTGGAGGGGCAGGGTTAGTATTAGAGTTATGGGTAGGAACTCGTACCCTATAAATTAGTACATATATGTACACTCACAAATGTACCCATAACATATCAGTAAGAAAATTTATAATGTAGTCTTGACAACAAGAGAAAGCCAAATTTGTCCTTGCCATAATGATGCATTTTCCCCTATCCCTGTAACTTTGTATAGAAATCCTAATAAATATGATTTAAAGTTCACTACTGGCAATTTTGCAAATGTTAGTTTGTCCATGGAGGATTTTTTTCTCAAATATTGTATTCACTGACATTTATTTTGCATTTACATTTTATGTATACACTGTACCATGGGGTTCGTTTATGTACTTGTCAGTTGTTGTTTTGTTCACAAAGGTTGTTAGTCCCCGCTAGGACGCAGTCCGAAAACTGAGACTTATGTTATGTGCGTGTGTGCGTGCCTGCATGCATGCATGCGAATCATAATTTAATCAAACTTCACACATACATCATACATGATATTATACATATGCACATCAATTTGTTTCACGATCTGATTCAAGATAGCCGATTGGCGGCCATTTTTGTTCTAAAAAATCATCTTAATCAAGCATTTCTCGGCTGTTTACAGATGGATTTTGTTTAAACTTGGTATATACATTAGACATTATGGGACCTTGATGCAAACATTTTTGTTTTTTAAACATTTTTAAATGGCTGACTGGCAGCCATTTTGTTTTAATGGTTTGGCTTCTTGAGCCATATCTCTGACATGCTTTGACTGATTATGTTCAAATTTTATATATTCATTATACATGTATTCAAAATGACTGATTTTGTTCCAGAGCAATATCTCCCAATATGGACAAGTAATTGTTTTACGATCAAATACAAATGTTAATCAGTTTAATGTTAAACAATCATCATAATCATATTCCTGACATGGTTATATTCCAGCTATATTACTATAAACAAAACTATACATCTTAAATTTGATAACTAACGAGGACTGTGCCATGCTTCGCTTGTTTTGTAGATTGTTGTCAGACTTGAAAATTTCTCTATATGATTTTTGTACAAAACATTTTAACAAGCATGTTATTTTCTCTTTACAATACCGGTATATCCAGTATTTGTATACTGTGTTCTCCATCATAAATATCGGATTGTTCAAAAGCAAAAGATTGTAATGTGATTTCATCCATTAATGCTGTATAGTCATTCTAGGCGTACATGTATCTGTGATTCTTGAGTAAAATGTTGATTAAGTCCTGGCCTGTGTTGCTTCAGTGTCTGACTGGTACAAAAGGAGACCAAGAAAACATCAAAAAAAAAGAAAAAAGAAAAGAAAGAAAGCTAAAAGTCAGTCGCCGGTGTCAAGAGAACCACAGCAATCCCAATACGAGAGTCGCAAGTGTATACACATCACATTGAAATGAATCGGCATATCAAAATCCTTTATTGGAACAGAACATGATCAATATTCACCAAAAAACAATTTTTCTTTGTTTCCAGACACACAAAATACATAAAACAAAAACATCTGATCCAAATGACCTACGTTCTTGACAATCAACTCCCCAAATCATTTATTGGTGCTCAATATTATTATTTTTTATGTTAAGTACAAAATAAATTTTTATAGTGAAAAAATGGGTTACAAACTCAATTTACGCCAATTTTATTTTTATGTATTTTAAAAATAAGCTCCTCATTAACTTCTCATTTGCATACTCAAATACCCCTTGTAACGTATGAAGGGTAACTTTCTATTCAGCATGCATTGCTGATAATGTATATAAGACACATTTCTTATTCAATTTTATCATCTTTCACTAAATTG